ATGTGGCAGCACATGCCCTCCTCTTTTAGATTGCGGAGTAGCTACTAGCTTCTCAACAGGAATCTTGTCAACTTTCCACTACTTCGACCTTTTTGACGACGAAGATGCATTGGGCGATAGTGGGAGTAGTTTAACGTCGGTGGAATGGATAGTTGCAGTAGATGGGAGATAAAGACTAGTCGCAAATAGGGACAAAGCTAGGAGTCTTACCAGTATCACACAGAGCAACATATGAATACAACACTTAGCCATACTGGCACAACGGTAGCTATCCAGCACCTTTCCAGCTTGCCACCTTGAATTGGAGGGTGATATAGGACTCGCGGTGCAACAGAAAGCTTCGGGGCTGTGTACGGAACCAAACATTGTCGGACATACTCGTAATCGGTCCTGCATTCACGAGGCACATGCGTTCCAGGATCCGTCTGGAAGCGGAATATCATCCCATGTGGGCTACTCTCTTTTCTTCTCGTAGTGCTCCACAATCTCACCGCTTTGCGAGACAACTCGCAGAAACGCGTATACGTCATTTCCTCACCATTATTGTGGGTTCGCAAGTATTCGTTCACGAAATGATGGAGTCTTTCCATCTTTCCATTGCAGAACGAACTACCCCTTGGTGTGGTAAAGTGAACGGTGTCCCATGTCTCCAGCAGTGATGCTATGGAGCTCGACGTGTACTAACTTCCCATATCGGTGTGTACTACACACTGGGTAGTATTAACGGTGCTATGCGGAAATTTTCCGCCAATAATGAAAGCAAATCACTGGCATCTGAGGCGATAGGCGTATTCAGTGTTGTGCGAATTGCAACGAACCCCGAATAGCTGTCGATCGCCGATACAATATAGTACCGACTACTTCCATCTGTCACCCGAGAATACGGCTCAGTGGTATCGGAGTGGATTCGTCTGAATGGGTGCGCGGCCTTGGGAATGGAGGACAGAGCCTCTGTCACAGAGGCTCCAGAGACATCCCATCGCCTGGGAGCGACTTTCCAGCTGCACATGTTTCGCATATGTGTTGATTGATAACACGAGCTAGACTAGCTGAGCTAGTCCTGGACTGTCGAACCATAGTGAATATTCTCCGTTACCATCGACCTCAGTCCCGTCGATGAAAAAATACTATCGAGTACATCTAAGGTAAATAGGAAATTCAATTTCTTGACTTTTCTATTATCGAGTACATCTAAGGTAAATAGGAAATTCAATTTCGTGACTTTTCTATTACTTCCAAGTACATCTAAGGTAAATAGGAAATTCAATTTCTTGACTTTTCCATTACTTCCAAGTAAATCTAAGGCAAATAGGAAATTCAAGTCGACAGTTTTGCCTCGGATTCGTGTCTTTGGGGAAATCGAACGTTATGGGGCCGCTATGCCACTGCTACGATCCGAAACAAAGATTCTTCCGTAGATCCTATCGGATCTGGTCGTATCGTTGGATCTGCTCGAGAGCGAACCGTAAAGCTGTTGGTTTCGCGAGCCCCAATGACATTGATGGTTCCAATGACGAACTAGATGTCCGGAAGCTGTTGAAATATGCCAGTGCTCAGATAGCCTGATCCCTGAGTATACCCAACTGATCGCGGGTGCACTCAAGGGGCAGCGCACCTTGTGCATGAGAATTCCACGAGTCTATACAAGACTTCTTGGATGGCTTCGGTACTTGGCAGATTTCGGATAGACGAAAGTTACAGTATCATCTGAGCAGGGTTTTATGTCTCAGAAAATGCCATGTTGTCTAACTCTAGTTTAATTTGCCGTCAGCCGACTCAACTGAAGGTGAAAAACGTCTCTTACGAGCAGGTGAGAATTACGAGAACCACCACTCACTACACTGCATTCTGTTTTTCCCTAGAATTCAACGATGAAAGCTTGATGAATCTGATGAAAGCTCAGATTCTAAGGAAGATCTGAGCTCGACACAGTATCTGAACACGATCATCACAATTGCAGGACTTGCCCGAGATGCCACGATCCGAATGCTGTCGGTTGATCCACGAGTTTAAGGATCGCCGATGGCTCGCCTCACGAGGTCTTTCACTTTCAGCGTTGATCCAGCAAAGCCCCATTCTGGACTGCTGCCGACTCCGGTTTGAATCTGAGTGAATTGCTGGTCTTGTCTGACTAGCTCTGAGGCCTCCATTCGCAAGCTCGAAAGAATGAGCTCTATGAGCCCCATAGCATGGGGCATCCTGGGGGTTTCTCGCCAGTGTTTCGACCTAAATCGCGCAACTTCCACACGAGGTTCCTAACTTAGTTGGTCTCACGTAGATCCGGGTGTCTTTCGAAATCCGGGTGTTCGGTCGGGGGTGTTCCATTGAGTAGATCGGTTGCTGTTATGGGTAGGTCGAGGGTGTATGATTGATTTTGATGACCAAGAGCGGAAGATGCTTCGAACATATTTTGATGCTCTTGACGATGACGGTTCCGGATCTATAGATGTCAGTGAACTCGAGGAGGTCAGTGCGGACGTTTCTGCTGGAGGGTCGAATCAAAACGATGACACAGCTTCACTCAGTAGTCGTTCGATCTTCTATTTGAGCCTGTTTCGGTTGGATGTCCGTATCGTTAAGGCGCCAGTTTAGGTTATGGTGGCCCTAGGACTGGCGGAAAAGTCCTCAGATGTGGAGAAAATGGTTGCTAATGTTGACGAAGATGGTTCTGGGGAAATCGAATTTCACGAGTTCCTTAGGATAGTAATAGTCACCCTGGTGAGTGCCTTCACGTCATTCCTGACTATTAGTTACGTAGAGGTCACCAGTCGAGTGATCCGAGTTCAGCTGCAATGTTCAAGGTCTGAATTTTATGATCTTTCAGCTTGATAGGTTTTCTGCTTAGGTGTTCAAATCTTTGATTCGTGGCGACCTCGGCGACACCGAAAACATTGGCTTCAAGCTCCTCACGTCTGCGTTTCGACGAAAGAGAATTATGGTTTGCATTGATGGGGAAGAAGGAGTCGGCTCAGCAGGTGAATGAATTTCTAGGAATAGATCAGCTTCGCATAAGTCTTTAGTTCAACGACATACGTCTTATAACTCGGCTTTCTCTGATGAACAGCCGCAAGTTTGCCGCAGCTCACTCGATTTCTCGAGAATCGTTTTTGTGATGCCCCTGTTAGAGTCGCTGAGGAGAAGTGTTGCATCAAAAATTACGCCCAGACTGCGTTGGGTGCGTATCATATCATCTCCAACGCGGCTAGGTTAGAAAATGCATATTCGCCAATCCAGGTCCAAGGGATGCGCATCCTAAGAGCCTTTGAAAGGCAACTGAATGAGTCTAGGCATTCAAATCAATCCATAAATTCCCAAAAAGTGAGTCTCTACTGACCCTTGATAGCCAACTGTACTTGTCGCAGAGTGAACAGGAGTGTACTGTCAAAAACTCTCCCCGACAACAGGTGATGCCCTCACTTTATGTGCAGCATTAATTTCAACGTGTCAGCGCCTCTACGTTGCACCCTTACGATTAGCGGGGTCGACTCGTCCTCATCGACGTGATCTGGTGCAAGTTCTCAAAAACTATGATCTTAAGATGTCTTGAACATATGGTCCTAAACTCTTCAAGCCAGAAATGAACATATGTCTAGTGTTTATATCTGCCCGTCGTGTGTTTTAAAACGTATTCACTTTTATTATATTAATCTCGTTGTGTTAAAGACTTGAAGTTAGTCGAATTAGAATATCTGTGGAAGTTTAAGTGTAGTCCTTCGATCCTGGTAATGCCAGCATATTCACCAATAACAACCCAGCAAATGAGGCCGCCACCAAGTCCGGCATGCACCACATGTATTTGCGGGGTTTCTATCTCGGATTAGGCATGGCACTGTCGGCGGGCTGTCCATACTCGTAGGCGTTCTGTGGTCGTTTGCCTGCTTCACGTGAACACTGGTCATTTACATTACACTGGGTAGGACACATCAGGCATTCATGCGATTATCCACCGTTTTAGATGGTCAGGACGCTCATCCCCTCAGCAAAGGTGCACATGATTGGCCTTTGAATCTCACCGCCTTTCTTATCTCATAGTATCAACATATTTACCATGTTATATGGAGAATAAGTATATGATGTACTATACATCATTCGTCGTACTCGAGAATTCCTTATCAGCTCAACACAGAGAGATTCGCTACTGAATGTCTGCGGCAGGCTGCCGGGTTGGCAGAACTGATTGCCGGGTTGATGTTGTTGTCCACGGCTTTGCGGCCGTTCTGTTCTTCGACGAATCTTCGAATGGTCTATCGAGGATGAATCAGTCGATATTCTTCAATCAGGGATGAGCAGGTGCCTACCCTTCTCCGTACCGCATGTAGCTCTTTTGCGACGAGCGGTCTCGATTCTGTGATCGAGACCTCCGCGCTGCCCCACGAGGCTCGTGGAAAGAGCTTGTCACACCCAACCCTGAATGATGAATACTCTCGTCGACGATGAGATCTCAGGAGGTTCTCGTTGACAAACTTTGTCAACCTGTGGATCAGAAGAGGTATTAGAAACTTTATAATACCTCTTCTGGTGTGGACTCCACACTGTGGAGAGGTGCTTAACTTTCGGGAGATATCAGAACATGACTCCCGGTTCAAATTGAACCGTTCAATACGATCGGCGTTCACGGCGGAGGCCGGTTGTGATAGTTGTACTCAATGAAAGTATCCACTGGAGCACCGACAATAGACTCTACTGGATCCTATCTGATGCTGGGGTGCTTATTCGCATACTACTGTTTCGAGGCATGATCATCCGCATGATAATCCATCGTATTCAGCTATACATCGGCTCCGAGTATCGTGCAGACTGCATGACACAAAGCTTCTCATGATTTGAGAACTTCCTCTTCGGCCTAGGCATAGTATAGACGGTGGTCCGTCCTCGTAGGCGTTCTCCATCCCTCATCGCTCTCGTTGCCCATCATGGGGACAAGCTCGATCACTGAAGTGCGCGAGTGATCACGTAAGAGTGGTGATGGCCAACTCCACCGGGTGGAGTCCACCCTACGATTCTCTATCGTAGGGTGTCATGGGCAGCCCATGACACCTTTCTCGATCCAATCCCAAAACTCAAAAGGATGACGATGGAGATCGGCAGTTGGGCACAATTTCTCCGCGTGTCGAGGTTTCCAAATATCACCGAGCAGGAATCTCGTTCGACCACTAGCGCTTCGTCAGAAGGCGTGCCACTGGGATAACATCATCGTTGTGCCGATTCAATCGGCACAACTCACAATTTGTGAGTGTCTCGCAGTGAGACCATATCCACCACGTGCCGGATGACCTATCATCGTTAGGTGCACTCATGCATCAGGCTCCCGCTCGTCGCAATCAGTAGGTTCAACTATGGGCCGTATGCGGATACTGATTCATGAAGCTGAGTCCATGATTCAACTCACCCTTCGATTCTGATTCATGACTCAACTCACACCTCGATTCGAGAGAACTGATTCAGATTCTTTGCTCAGGAGAAAGAGTCGAGATTTCTGAGTATGAGTCCTTGAGACAGAGTCAGATTACGTCATCATGAGCAACATCCTTGATCCTTGATTTTAATCAGCTGCTGAATCCGATTTCCGATCGCTAAACACGATTCAAGATTCAAATCTATACTCAATGGCTGATTCAGAGTTTTTGGCACTGAGTCAGAGTCTTTCATCAACTCGAGTTTAAATACTCAGAGTTGGGATTTTTACTCGTGATTCGAGATTAATTCTAACGAGCCGAGATTCTTTTACTCAACCTCAAAGCTGCTCAGATTCAATATCGCAATCTCACCTTGAATATGATCCGGGATCATACTCATGATGCATAAGTTCACATTTTAACACCGAACCCTGATTCTGATTCACGACTTCAGCGCGCGCCACGGTAGACCTCCCTCAGCTCATTGCGAGGAGGCTCTAAATATGATCGTACCCGGGTATAGAACTTTCGCTTCGATTAAGTGAAAGCATGTCGTTAACCAGTTGAGCTGTGAGATTACGATACCAGACGGTGCAAGGAGGTATAGCGCACGTGGTAGATACAGGCTATTAGTATGAACGTGCCCGGGAATAGAACCCCCGTCTCGAGCACGTGGAAGCATACCCTTGACCAGTTGAAGCTCGAGTTGTAAAATCAGTGCATCAGGGGTTCATACTCACCGTCTGATTTTTTTATCTGGGTGAATACTCTGACACCTGTTACATCAGGATCCGCATAGATCCCCTGTTAGTAATGTCATAAAGGTATCTTGTAGCCATATTGCTGCATAAGTAGACCACACAAGCATCGACTCTCCAGCAGTTGACTAGATGGAGGGTGGTAGATGATGTACCAGTCTCCCTCAAGTTTACCGATATGGCTACAAAATACGTTTACAGCATTAATCATTAATGCTGACAGCATCACGCTGTAGAAATTATTAATGATTAATATCGTAGATCAAATTGAACGGATGTGTGACTGTCACACTGTGACAGACAACTCCCATGTTTACGGACACATCAACGACGAGGGAGAACCTCGAGTTCCGTAAGGGAGTTCTTGTTGCCTCTCATTCTGCTTGTGTCGTAACGCGTGTAACTAGTCCTTGAGCAGAACACGACAGCACAGTCCCCAAGGAGCCTGGAAATTTAAGAGCATGATGAAAACCTCAAAAGCCATACGCTATCGATCAACTGGACGTATACGGCATATTTCAACCAGGACAAAAGGAGTGGTTTCGGGATCGAGAGAAAAGATGAATGAAGAGAGAATGATGAATGAAAAGAGAATGATGAAGTGATAACGACCAGGTCGTCAAGGTTCCGGGCAATGACTGTTTGTGAATCGTCATTGAATGAAATTGAACCAATGTTCGCTACTCATGCGAAACGCCTCTGAACTCCTCATTCGTTAACCTGAACATGATTGCGTATTCCGTATTGCAAAATGTGCAAGAATCACTCACGGAGAACGCCATGACTTACCGTCCGGACACCAACAATATGGAGGATTAGCCCTCGGTGCACATTGGCAGGTGTGGGGGCATTTCTTGCAAATGTCATGAACCAGAATCCTCGGCTGTGAAATCTGCTCCAGCCTTCTTTCAGTATCATCGTTCACTGCATGGGAAAGCATGGTCGAAGCAGTAATGATCAACACGACGTGGAAGACGCTTTTCATATGTAGCAGAAGCTAAATATAGTGCCTGAGGCTCGCACTGGTCAACTTAACAACCGAACAAATAATAGGAGTGCACTATGAAACACTCAGTGTAGCGCTTTCTTGATCTAGTCAATCACCACTGGTGAACAAGCCAACATAAGCATCGGGACTAAATGCTATTGAAGTTTAATGCTGATACTATCCAAAGAAGAGATCTCAGAAGCCCTCTTCATTCCGGAGTCCATCTGCTCTACTAAGATCGATCAACTCGCCTACTTCACGTGAAACGCTACGAATGAACAAGATTCCGCACAACCAGCTCTGTATCCCCAGTGGGGGCATTTGTAGAACTTGTGGTAGCTTGTAGATACTCAGCTCCAAGAATATCGTATTCGTGTTCCCGACTGAACGCAACCAGCAATCCGTGATTGTAACCAATACGTAATGGTTGTTAACTTTAAGGACGAGCAGCTTCGACCGATTTGGGTTGAGCGAGATCTGCTGTGTCGCACATCTTCTAGCACGTGTGCAAGCATTGCCACGATGCGGCAGTACATGCCCCCTCTTTCAGATAGCGGAGTACCTACTAGCTTCTCAACAGGAATCTTGCCAACTTTCCACTACTTCGACCTTTTTGACGACGAAGATGCATTGGGCGATAGTGGGAGTAGTTTAACGTCGGTGGAATGGATAGTTGCAGTAGATGGGAGATAAAGACTAGTCGCAAATAGGGACAAAGCTAGGAGTCTCACCAGTATCACACAGAGCAACATATGAATACAACACTTAGCCATACTGGCACAACGGTAGCTATCCAGCACCTTTCCAGCTTGCCACCTTGAATTGGAGGGTGATATAGGACTCGCGGTGCAACAGAAAGCTTCGGGGCTGTGTACGGAACCAAACATTGTCGGACATACTCGTAATCGGTCCTGCATTCACGAGGCACATGCGTTCCAGGATCCGTCTGGAAGCGGAATATCATCCCATGTGGGCTACTCTCTTTTCTTCTCGTAGTGCTCCACAATCTCACCGCTTTGCGAGACAACTCGCAGAAACGCGTATACGTCATTTCCTCACCATTATTGTGGGTTCGCAAGTATTCGTTCACGAAATGATGGAGTCTTTCCATCTTTCCATTGCAGAACGAACTACCCCTTGGTGTGGTAAAGTGAACGGTGTCCCATGTCTCCAGCAGTGATGCTATGGAGCTCGACGTGTACTAACTTCCCATATCGGTGTGTACTACACACTGGGTAGTATTAACGGTGCTATGCGGAAATTTTCCGCCAATAATGAAAGCAAATCACTGGCATCTGAGGCGATAGGCGTATTCAGTGTTGTGCGAATTGCAACGAACCCCGAATAGCTGTCGATCGCCGGTACAATATAGTACCGACTACTTCCATCTGTCACCCGAGAATACGGCTCAGTGGTATCGGAGTGGATTCGTCTGAATGGGTGCGCGGCCTTGGGAATGGAGGACAGAGCCTCTGTCACAGAGGCTCCAGAGACATCCCATCGCCTGGGAGCGACTTTCCAGCTGCACATGTTTCGCATATGTGTTGATTGATAACACGAGCTTGACTAGCTGAGCTAGTCCTGGACTGTCGAACCATAGTGAATATTCTCCGTTACCATCGACCTCAGTCCCGTCGATGAAAAAATACTTTAGAGGTACTATCGAGTACATCTAAGGTAAATAGGAAATTCAATTTCGTGACTTTTCTATTACTTCCAAGTAAATCTAAGGCAAATAGGAAATTCAATTTCTTGACTTTTCTATTACTTCCAAGTAAATCTAAGGCAAATAGGAAATTCAATTTCGTGACTTTTCTATTACTTTCAAGTACATCTAAGGTAAATAGGAAATTCAAGTCGACAGTTTTGCCTCGGATCCGTGTCTTTGGGGAAATCGAACGTTATGGGGCCGCTATGCCACTGCTACGATCCGAAACGAAGATTCTTCCGTAGATCCTATCGGATCTGGTCGTATCGTTGGATCTGCTCGAGAGTGAACCGTAAAGCTGTTGGTTTCGCGAGCCCCAATGAAATTGATGGTTCCAATGACGAACTAGATGTCCGGAAGCTGTTGAAATATGCCAGTGCTCAGATAGCCTGATCCCTGAGTATACCCAACTGATCGCGGGCGCACTCAAGGCGCAGCGCACCTTGTGCATGAGAACTCCACGAGTTTATACAAGACTCCTTGGATGGCTTCGGTACTTGGCAGATTTCGGATAGACGAAAGTTACAGTATCATCTGAGCAGGGTTTTATGTGTCAGAAAATGCCATGTTGTCTAACTCTAGTTTAATTTGCCGTCAGCCGACTCAACTGAAGGTGAAAAACGTCTCTTACGAGCAGGTGAGAATTACGAGAACCACCACTCACTACACTGCATTCTGTTTTTCCCTAGAATTCAACGATGAAAGCTTGATGAATCTAGGATGAAAGCTCAGATTCTAAGGAAGATCTGAGCTCGACACAGTATCTGAACACGATCATCACAATTGCAGGACTTGCCCGAGATGCCACGATCCGAATGCTGTCGGTTGATCCACGAGTTTAAGGATCGCCGATGGCTCGCCTCACGAGGTCTTTCACTTTCAGCGTTGATCCAGCAAAGCCCCATTCTGGACTGCTGCCGACTCCGGTTTGAATCTGAGTGAATTGCTGGTCTTGTCTGACTAGCTCTGAGGCCTCCATTCGCAAGCTCGAAAGAATGAGCTCTATGAGCCCCATAGCATGGGGCATCCTGGGGGTTTCTCGCCAGTGTTTCGACCTAAATCGCGCAACTTCCACACGAGGTTCCTAACTTAGTTGGTCTCACGTAGATCCGGGTGTCTTTCGAAATCCGGGTGTTTGGTCGGGAGTGTTCCATTGAGTAGATCGGCTGCTGTTATGGGTAGGTCGAGGGTGTATGATTGATTTTGATGACCAAGAGCGGAAGATGCTTCGAACATATTTTGATGCTCTTGACGATGACGGTTCCGGATCTATAGATGTCACTGAACTCGAGGAGGTCAGTGCGGACGTTTCTGCTGGAGGGTCGAATCAAAACGATGACACAGCTTCACTCAGTAGTCGGTCGATCTTCTATTTGAGCCTGTTTCGGTTGGATGTCCGTATCGGTAAGGCGCCAGTTTAGGTTATGGTGGCCCTAGGACTGGCGGAAAAGTCCTCAGATGTGGAGAAAATGGTTGCTAATGTTGACGAAGATGGTTCTGGGGAAATCGAATTTCACGAGTTCCTTAGGATAGTAATAGTCACCCTGTTGAGTGCCTTCACGTCATTGCTGACTATTAGTTACGTGGAGGTCACCAGTCGAGTGATCCGAGTTCAGCTGCAATGTTTAAGGTCTGAATTTTATGATCTTTCAGCTTGATAGGTTTTCTTCTTAGGTGTTCAAATCTTTGATTCGTGGCGACCTCGGCGACACCGAAAACATTGGCTTCAAGCTCCTCACGTCTGCGTATCGACGGAAGAGAATTATGGATGCAATGATGGGGAAGAAGGAGTCGGCTCAGCAGGTGAATGAATTTCTAGGAATAGATCAGCTTCGCACACTCTTTAGTTCAACAACATACGTCTTATAACTCGGCTTTCTCTGATGAACGGCCGCAAGTTAGCCGCAGCTCACTCGATTTCTCGAGAATCGCTTTCGTGATGCCCCTGTTAGAGTCGTTGAGGAGAAGTGTTGCATCAAAAATTACGCCCAGACGACGTTGGCTCCGTATCATATAATCTCCAACGCGGCTAGATTAGACAGTGCATATTCGCTAATCCAGGTCCAAGGGATGCGCATCCTAAGAGCCTTTGAAAGGCATCTGAATGAGTCTAGGCATTCAAATCAATCCATAAATTCCCAAAAAGTGAGTCTCTACTGATCTTTGATAGCCAACAGTGCTTCTCGCAGAGTGAACAGGAGTGTACTGTCAAAAACTCTCCCGGACAACAGGTGATGCCCTCACTTTATGTGCAGCATTAATTTCAACGTGTCAGCGCCTCTACGTTGCACCCTTACGATTAGCGGGTTCGACTCGTCCTCATCGACGTGATCTGGTGCAAGTTCTCAAAAACTATGATCTTAAGATGTCTTGAACATATGGTCCTAAACTCTTCAAGCCAGAAATGGACATATGTCTAGTGTTTATATCTGCACATCGTGTGTTTTAAAACGTATTCACTTTTATTATATTAATCTCGTTGTGTTAAGGACTTGAATTCGAACTAGAATATCTGTGGAAGTTTAAGTGTAGTCTTTCGATCTCGGTAATGCCAGCATATTCAAACCCAGCAAATGAGGCCGCCACCAAGCCCGGCATGCACCACATGTATTTGCGGGGTTTCTATCTCGGATTAGGCATGGCACTGTCGGCGGGCTGTCCATCCTCGTAGGCGTTCTGTGGTCGTTTGCCTGCTCCACGTGAACACTGGGTGTTTACATTACACTGGGTAGGACACATCAGGCATTCATGCGATTATCCACCGTTTTAGATGGTCAGGACGCTCATCGCCTCAGCAGAGGTGCGCCCACATGATTGGCCTTTGAATCTGACCGCCTTTCTCATCTCATAGTATCAGCATATTTACCATGTTATATGGAGGATAAGTATATGAGGTATCATACATCATTCGTCGTACTCGAGAATTCCTTATCAGCTCAACACAGAGAGACTCGCTACTGAATGTCTGCGGCAGGCTGCTGGGTTGGTAGAACTGATTGCCGGGTTGATGTTGTTGTCCACGGCTTTGCGGCCGCTCTATTCCCTCACGAATCTTCGAATGGTCTATCGAGGATGAATCAGTCGATATTCTTCAATCAGGGATGAGCAGGTGTTTACTTCTCCGTCCCGCGTAGCTCTTTTGCGACAAGCGGTCTCGATTCTGTGATCGAGACCTCCGCGCTGCCCCACGAGGATCGTGGAAAGAGCTTGTCACACTCAACCCTGAATGATGAATACTCTCGTCGACGATGAGATCTCAGGAGGTTCTCGTTGACAAACTTTGTCAACTAGTGGATCAGAAGAGGTATTAGAAACTTTCTGATACCTCTTCTGGAGTGGAGAGGTGCTTAACTTTCGGGAGATATCAGAACATGACTCCCGGTTCAATACGCTCGGCGTTCACGGCGGAGGCCGGTTGTGATAGTTCTACTCAATAAAAGTATCCACTGGAGCACCGACAAAAGACTCTACTGGATACTATCTGATGCTGGGGTGCTTATTCGCATACTACTGTTTCGAGGCATGACCATCCGCATGATAATCCATCGTATTCAGTTACACATCGGCTCCGAGTATCGTGCAGACTGCATGACACAAAGCTTCTCATGATTTGAGAACTTCCTCTTCGGCCTAGGCATAGTATAGACGGTGGTCCGTCCTCGTAGGCGTTCTCCGTCGCCCACCGTTCTCGTTGCCCATCATGGGCACGAGCTCGATCACTGAAGTACGCGAGTGATCACGTAAGAGTGGTGATGGCCGACTCCACCCTACGATTCTCTATCGTAGGGTGTCATGGGCAGCCCATGACACCCTTCTCGATCCAGTCTCAAAACTCAAAAGGGAGACGATGGAGATCGGCAGGTGGGCACAATTTCTCCGCGTGTCGAGGTTTCCAAAGATCACCGAGGCTCGGTGCTCGGTGACCGAGCAGGAATCTCGTTCGACCACTAGTGCTTCGTCAGAAGGCGTGCCACTGGGATAACATCATCGTTGTACCGATTGTGAGAGTATCGCAGTGAGACCATATCCACCACGTGCAGGATGACCTATCGTCGTTAGGTGCACTGGCTCAGGCTCAGGTGCACTGGCTCAATGCATCAGGCTCCCGCTCGTCGCAATCCGTAGGTTCAACTATGGGCCGTATGCGGATACTGATTCATGATCTGAGTCCATGATTCAACTCACCCTTCGATTCTGATTCATGACTCAACTCACACCTCGATTCGAGAGAACTGATTCAGATCCTTTGCTCAGGAGAAAGAGTCGAGATTTCTGAATATGAGTCCTTGAGACAGAGTCAGATTACGTCATCATGAGCAACATCCTTGATCCTTGATTTTAATCAGCTGCTGAATCCGATTTCCGATCGCTAAACACGATTCAAGATTCAAATCTATACTCAATGGCTGATTCAGAGTTTTTGGCACTGAGTCAGAGTCTTTCATCAACTCGAGTTTAAATGCTCAGAGTTGGGATTTTTACTCGTGATTAGAGATTAATTCTAACGAGCCGAGATTCTTTTACTCAACCTCAAAGCTGCTCAGATTGAATATCGCAATCTCACCTTGAATATGATCCGGGATCATATTCATGATGCATAAGTTCACATTTTAACACCGAACCCTGATTCTGATTCACGACTTCAGCGCGCGCCACGGTAGACCTCCCTCAGCTCATTGCAAGGAGGCTCTAAATATGACCGTAGCCGGGGATAGAACCTCCCCTTCGCTTCGATTAAGTGAAAGCATATCGTTAACCAGTTGAGCTGTGAGATTACGATACCAGACGGTGCAAGGAGGTATAGCGCACGTGGTAGATGCAGGCTATTAGTACGACCGTGCCCGGGAACAGAACCCTTGCTTCGAGCACGTGGAAGCATACCCTTAACCAGTTGAAGCGAACTAAGTTGAAACTCAAGATCATTGATTATGTGACTTGTAACAAGTCACTAGCTTGACCAAATCTATTATTCTGGCGCGGGGATTAACTTTCATCTGGAATTTCTGAATTAGGAACCTAGAGTTAGTTGACTCCGACGTTCGATTGAGTATATTGAAAAGTTCGAAGTACGGATGTGTACACGTGCGACAAAAGTTCTCTATGGGAGAGTTCCACCATTGTTGTAGTGTAACGGGAAATGTTCGTGTACTCGCGACGAATCTACCAGGTTCCAACCTCACAGAGTGACGTATTCTTCCATTCTTGAAATTGTCACTGTCGGTTGTGGGGCGTAGGCTACGCCGCGTAGCGATTATAGTCTTCATCTTGTCAAAAATGTCTGATTCAAACTGTGATTCCCTGATTCTCTAAAATACTCAGATTCAATGGAATCACCCGAAAAATCAGCCTCGTGAGCAAGGCTTATTAAGTGAGAGTATTAATCAGCCGGAAAATCAACCTTTGACTCTCGAATCAGTTCGGGGATACATATATCATCGCGATGATCCTGATTTCTCGCTCTAGAGTTGAAAAATAAGTGAATCAGGGGTTCATACGCACCATCTGATTTTTTATCTGGGTAAATACTCTGACACCTGTTGCATCAGGATCCCCATACGGCCCCTGTTAGAAATGTCGTAAAGGTATCTTGTAGCCGTATTGCTGCATAAGTAGACCACACAAGCATCGACTCTCTAGCGGTTGACTAGATGGAGGGCGGTAGATGATGTACCAGCCTCCCTCAAGTTTACCGATATGGCTACAACATTACAGCATTAATCATTAATGCTGACAGCATTACGCTGTAGGAATTATTAATTATTAATGATTAATATCGTAGATCAAGTTGAACGGATGTGTGACAAACAGCTGCCATGTTTACGGACACATCAACGACGAGGGAGAACCCCGACTCGGGGTCCCCGAGGTCCGTAAGGGGATTCTTGTTGCCTTTCATCCTGCCTGTGTCGTAACGCGTGTAATTAGACCTTGGACGGAACACGACAGTACAGTCCGCAAGCAGCCTGGAAACTCATCGAGCGAAAAGATGAATGAAGATAGAATGACGAATGAAGAGAGAATGACGAATGATAACGACCAGGTCATCAAGGTTCTCGACAATGACTGCTAGTGAACCGTCATTGAATGAGATTGAACCAATGTTCGCTATTCATGCGATACGCTTCTCAACTCCTCACTCATTTGTCATCTGAAAATGATTGCGTATTGCGAAGTATGCAAGAATCACTCACAGACAATGCCGTGACTTACGTGGACAATAACAAAATGGAGCAGGATCTATGGTCGCCGGGCATACGCAGGTGTGGGGGCATTTATCGCACGGGTTATGCATTAGAATTCTCGGCTGTAGAATCTGCTCCAGCCTCCTTTCAACACCATCCTTCACTGCATGGGAAAGCAATGTCAAAGCAGTGATGATCAACACGAGCTGGAAGACGCTTTTCATATGTAGCTGAAGAATAATATAGTGCTTGAGACTCGAACTGGTCTGCTTCAACTAAAGAAATGATAGGAGTGCACTATGCAACACTCAGTGTAGCGCTTTCTTGATCTAGTCAATCACCACTGGTGAACAAACCAACATTAGCATCGGGACTAATTGCTATCGAAGTTCAATACTAATACTATCCAAAGAAGAGATCTCAGAAGTCCTTTTCATTCCGGAGTCCATCTG